AGAGAGGTGTGAGAGAAGGGGAGAAATTGAGAGCTGGTGGAGATGTAAGTAGGAGAGAGGAGTGAGACAAATGGAGAACTTGAGAGCTGGTGGAGGAGTAATTAGGAGAGAGGAGTGAGAGAAAGGGAGAACCTGAGAGATGGTGGACAAGTAATTAGGAGAGAGGAGTGAGAGAAAGATAGAACTCGAGAGCTGGTGAAGAGGTAAGTAGCAGAGAGGCATGAGAGAAAGGGAGAACGTTAGAGCTGGTGGAGAAGTAAGTAGGAGAGAGGAGTGAGAGAAAGGGAGAACTTAAGAGCTGGTGAAGAAGTAATTAGGAGAGAGGAGTGAGAGAAAGGGAGAACTCGAGAGCTGGTGGACAAGTAATTAGGAGAGAGGAGTAAGAGAAAGGGAGAACTTGAGAGCTGGTGGAGGAGTAATTAGGAGAGAGGAGTGAGAGAAAGGGAGAAATTGAGAGCTGGTGGAGATGTAAGTAGGAGAGAGGAGTGAGAGAAAGGGAGAACTTGAGAGCTGGTGGAGAAGTAAGTAGGAGAGAGTAGTGAGAGAAAGAGACAACTTGAGAGCTAGTTGAGATATAAGTAGGAGAGAGGGGTGAGAGAAAGGGAGAACTTGAGAGCTGGTGGAGGAGTAATTAGGAGAGAGGAGTGAGAGAAAGGGAGAACTTGAGAGCTGGTGGACAAGTAATTAGGAGAGAGGAGTGAGAGAAAGATAGAACTCGAGAGCTGGTGGAAAAGTAATTACGAGAGAGGAGTGAGAGAAAGTGAGAATTTGAGAGCTGGTGGAGAGGTAAGTAGGAGAGAGGCATGAGAGAAAAGGAGAACTTGAGAGCTGGTGGAGAAGTAAGTAGGAGAGAGGAGTGAGAGAAAGGGAGAACTTGAGAGCCTGTGGAGAAGTAAGTAGGAGAGAGGAGTGAGAGAACAGGCGAACTCGAAAGCTGGTGGAGAAGTAAGTAGGAGAGAGTAGTGAGAGAAAGGGCGAAGGGATGGGTATGTTGAGGGAGCATCGATCTGTCGAACAAGAGATATATTGAATGGGAAGTGATGATGAGAAAGAAAGAGATAGAGAAAAGCAGAAAGAAAAAAATACGGGCAGACAGAAAGACTAAAAAAATAAAGAAACAAACAAACAAACAACGTAAGAAAGAAAGAGAGAAAGAAAGAAAGAAAGAAAGAAAGAAAGAAAGAAAGAAAGAAAGAAAGAAAGAAAGAAAGAAAGAAAGAAAGAAAGAAAGAAAGAAAGAAAGAAAGAAAGAAAGAAAGAAAGAAAGAAAGAAAGAAAGAAAGAAAAAAAGAAAAAACGAAAAAAGGAAAGAAAGAAAGAAAACAGTAAAGAGTGGACAAATACACACAGAAAGAGAAAGAGAGAGAAAAAAAGCGAGAGAAGAAGAGAGAACGAGAGAAAGAGAAGGAGAGAGAAGGAGAGAGAAAGAGCGAGAAAAAGAAAGAGAGAGCGAGAAAGAGAAACGAATGAGAGAGAAAGAAGTAGCTGCCTAAACTTTCTCTCTGAAAGCACATACAACCATGCAGTCACGCAGGTGACAACTTCCTTGAGGTAAATCGGAACGGTTCATCCTTTCTTGTCACACAGTGTTAATGCCAGTCAAGGGTATATATTTACCCAGCTGTATCTTCTGTTCTGGTCTGCACACATGTTCTGGTCAGTACACACGTTCTAGTCTGTACACAAGTTCTAGACTGTACACAAATTCTAGTCTGTACACATGTTCTAGTCTGTACACATGTTCTAGTCTGTACACATATTCTAGTATGTACACATGTTCTAGTCTGTACACATGTTCTAGTCTCTACACATATTCTAGCCTGTACACATATTGTAGTCTGTACACAACCTCTAGTCTCTACACATGTTCTAGTATGTACACATATTCTAGTATGTACACATATTCTTGTATGTATACATATTCTAGTATATTCACAACTTCTAGTATGTACACAAGTTCTAGTCTGTACACATATTCTAGTCTGTACAAATGTTCTAGTCTCTACAAAAGTACTAGTTTGTACACAAGTTCTAGTCTGTACACATATTCTAGTCTGTACACATGTTCTAGTATGTACAAATATTCTAGTATGTACACATATTCTAGTATGTACACATATTTTAGTATATACACAAATTCTAGTCTGTATACATAATCTAGTCTGTACACATGCTCTAGTCGGTTCAAAAGTTCTAGGCTGTACACATGTTATAGTCTGTACACATATTCTAGTATGTACACATATTCTAGTCTGTACACAAATTCTAGTATGTACACATATTCTTGTCTGTAGACATATTCTAGTCTGTACACATATTATAGTCTGTAGACATATTCTAGTCTTTACACATGTTCTAGTCTGTAAACAAGTTCTAGTCTGTACACATGTTCTAGTCTGTACACATGTTCTAATCTGTAGACATGTTCTAGTTTGTACACATATTCTTATATGTACACATGTTCTAGTCTGAGCACATGTTATAGTCTGTACTAATCTTATACTCTGTACGCATTGTATAGTCTGCAATCATATTCTAATCTGTAGACATGTTCTAGTCTCTACACATGTACTAGTTTCTACCCAAGTTCTAGTCTGTACACATATTCTAGTCTGTACACCTGTTCTAGTATGTACAAATATTCTTGTATGTACACATATTCTAGTATGTACACATATTCTAGTATGTACACAAGTTCTAGTCTGTACACATATTCTAGTCTGTACACATGCACTAGTCGGTACAAAAGTTCTAGCCTGTACACAAGTTCTAGCCTGTTTACATATTCTAGTATGTACACATATTCTAGTCTGTACATATATTCTAGTATGTACACATATTCTAGTCTGCAGACATATTCTAGTCTGTACACATATTCTAGTCTGCAGACATTTTCTAGTCTTTACACATGTTCTAGTCTGTAAACAAGTTCTTGTCTGTACACATGTTCTAGTCTGTACACATGTTCTAATATGTACACATGTTCTAGTTTGTACACATATTCTTATATGTACACATGTCTGAACACATGTTATAGTCTGTACTGATCTTATAGTCTTTACACATTGTATATTCTGCAAGCATATTCTAATCTGTAGACATGTTCTAGTCTCTACACATGTACTAGTTCCTACCCATGTTCTAATATTTACACACGTTTTTCTAGTCTGTACACATGTTATAAGATGAAAACACATGTTCTAGTCTGTACACGTATTCTATTTTCTACCGATGTTCTATTATGTACGTCCACCGTTCCAGTCTGTACACATTTTCTCTAAATGTACACACGTTGTTTTAGTCTGCACATATATTGTTCTATTCTGTACACATGTTGTTCTAGTCTGCACACATGTTGTTCTAGTCTGTACACATGTTGTTCTAGTCTGTACACATGTTGTTCTAGTCTGCACACACATTGTTCTACTCTGCACTCACGTTGTTCTAGTCTGCACACATGTTGTTCTAGTCTCTACACATGTTGTTCTAGTCTGCACACATGTTGTTCTAGTCTGTACACATGTTGTTCTAGTCTGCACACATGTTGTTCTAGTCTGTACACATGTTGTTCTAGTCTGCACACATGTTGTTCTAGTCTCCACACATGTTTTTCTAGTCTGCACTCACATTGTTCTAGTCTCTACTCACGTTGCTCTAGTCTGCTCACATGTTGTTCTAGTCTGCACACTCATTGTTCTACTCTGCACTCACGTTGTTCTAGTCTGCACACATGTTGTTCTAGTCTCCACACATGTTGTTCTAGTCTGCACACATGTTGTTCTAGTCTGCACACACATTGTTCTACTCTGCACTCACGTTGTTCTAGTCTGCACTCACGTTGTTGTAATCTGCACTTACGTTGTTCTAGTCTGATCTCACTTTGTTCTAGTCTGTACTCACGTTGTTCTACTCTGCACTCACGTTGTTCTAGTCTGCACTCACGTTGTTGTAGTCTGCACTCACGTTGTTCTAGTCTGATCTCATGTTGTTCTAGTCTGTACTCACGTTGTTGTAGTCTGCACTCTCGTTTTTCTAGTCTGTACTCACGTTATTCTAGTCTGCACTCACGTTGTTCTACTCTGCACTCAGGTTGTTCTAGTCTGTACTCACGTTGTTGTAGTCTGCACTCACGTTGTTCTAGTCTGCACTCATATTGTTCTAGTCTGCACTCACGTTGTTCTAGTCTGCACTCACGTTGTTCTAGTCTGCACACATGTTGTTCTAGTCTGCACTCACGTTGTTCTACTCTGCACTCACGTTGTTCTAGTCTGTACTCACGTTGTTGTAGTCTGCACTCACGTTGTTCTAGTCTGCACTCACGTTGTTCTAGTCTGCACTCACGTTGTTCTAGTCTGCACTCACGTTGTTCTAGTCTGAACTCACGTTGTTCTAGTCTGCACTCATGTTGTTCTAGTCTGCACACATGTTGTTCTAGTCTGCACTCACGTTGTTCTAGTCTGCACTCACGTTGTTCTAGTCTGATCTCACGTTGTTCTAGTCTGCACACATGTTGTTCTAGTCTGCACTCATGTTGTTCTAGTCTGCACACATGTTGTTCTAATCTGATCTCACGTTGTTCTAGTCTGCACTCACGTTGTTCTAGTCTGCACACATATTTTTCTAGTCTGATCTCACGGTGTTCTAGTCTTCACTCACGTTGTTCTAGTTTGCACACATGTTGTCCTAGTCTGTACACACATTTTTCTAGTCTGCACACATGTTGTTCTAGTCTGCACTCACGTTGTTCGTCTGCACACACGTTGTTCTATTCAGTAAAGACGGTCCAGTCTGTACACATGTTCTATTTTCTACCCATGCTCTAATGTGTACACACATGTTTCTAGTCTGTACGCCTGTTTAAAGGGGGGGGGGGCTATACTTTAGTTTGATGCTGCACCCATTAAGTTCTATTGCACCTGACCAACTGACCACACATATATCCTGCTTCAGATTTCCTGGAGATGTAAGAGTCTGACCCCGCTGTGACATTTGACTGAAAGATGTGGCTACACCTGGGCCTGATTCAAGGTAGCCTGTACCTGCAGCTGGTCATGCTCAGTTTCGGTGAGTAGATCCTCTTGTGTCCGTGATAGTCAAGCATGTTGCTAACCAACAAATGGGGTGGGGTGGTGGGGGGAGGGTTAGAGAGAAAGAGAATAGGACATTACATATATGGCAAGTATCTAGGGTATGATACCACTTCAATCTCTCGCACAAGATTCCACCAGACGATGACGACAGCTGGGTTTCCTACGGTAAAGTAGATGCGTTGATGACAACTGGAAAGCCCTATCTAAGCCAGATCCACAACTGCCCAACTAACTGATGACAACTAGAAGGCTCTACCTAAGCCAGATACACAGCTGCTCAACTAACTGATGACAACTGGAAGGTCCTACCTAAGCCAGATTCACAACTGTCCAACTATCTGATGACAACTAGAAAGCCCTGTCTAAGCCAGACTCACAACTGTCAAACTAACTGATTACAACTAGAAGGCCCTAACTAAGTCAGATTCACAACTGTCCAACTGATGACAAATGGAAGCCCCTATCTAAGATAGATCCACAACTGTCACACTAACTGATGACAACTGGAAGGCCCTATCTAAGCTGGATCCACAACTGTCCAACTAACTGATGACAACTCAAAAGGCCCTATCTAAGACAGATCCACAACTGTCACACTGCGCTTCAACAGATATAATAACACAATCTATACTCCAAGAGTATACATTAACAAAATCCATGCGCTCCAACAGTGTACGATAATACAATCTTATCGCTCCAACAGTATAGGATATTGGAATCTATACGTTCTAACAGTATAGTATAATAGTCTATATGCTCCAATGGTATGCAATAATACAATCCATGCGCTCCAACATTATAGGATAATACAATCTATACGCTCCAGCAGTATACAATAACACAATCCATGCGTTCAACAGTAGACAATAACACAATCCATACACTCCAACAGTATAAAGAATAATACAATCTATACGCTCCAACAGTATAGGATAATAGAATCTATACGCTCCAACAGTATAGGATAACCCAATCAAGTTGAGCAAAACCATATTCCAAAGCAGCTTTAGACAAGAAAGACTTCCTGCATGAAACCCCAAGTGCAGCTAAGGGTCACAGACTGAACAGAGAACGGTCTTGTATGGCGCATGCTGAAGACACAATAAGACGTGTGTCTATATAACATTGGGAAAGTGGAGGATTGGGTCAGTGTGTGTACTAGCAACAATCATAATTGTGTACGGTTCTAATCACATTGGGGTGTGTACGATCAACAAACATACTTGTGTACGGTTCTAATCACATTGGGGTGTGTACGATCAACAAACATACTTGTGTACGGTTCTAATCACACTGGGGTGTGTACTAGCAACAATCATACTTGTGTACGGTTCTAATCACACTAGGGTGTGTACTAGCAACAATCATACTTGTGTACGGTTCTAATCACACTGGGGTGTGTACTAGCAACAATCATACTTGTGTACGGTTCTAATCACACTAGGGTGTGTACTAGCAACAATCATACTTGTGTACGGTTCTAATCACACTAGGGTGTGTACGATCAACAATCATACTTGTGTACGGTTCTAATCACACTGGGGTGTGTACTAGCAACAATCATGCTTGTGTACGGTTCTAATCACACTGGGTCGTGAATATTGTGGCTGGCCAGTGGATGCTGCAGAATGAGATGTTCACAAATGATTCAAGACTATTCCCGCCCAGGTAGTGTGATTATCTATACAGATGGCTGTGTGTTGACAGGCAGAAGAAGTGCATGGAGGTTCATAAAAAAAATAGTAAATGGGCGTCGCTAAGTGCAACAAAGCGTGACATATGATGCAACAACAACATCTAGTTTGAGGATGGAGGTGCAGAAATTCACTCCAACCGTCTGCTAGCTTGATAACCAGCTGCACAGATATCGTGATTGTAAGCGACATACATAGAATGTTGGTAAAGGAAAAGACAGTTATGCTCCGTGCAGAGTGGCAAGCATATTTTCCCCAGGGTAAGCTGGTGTGTTGGTAAATGTACAGAGAGATCCGCTGGTTCTGCTCCACTTGGTGGTAAACTAAGACATGACAAATTAGATGTTTGAGAAGCTGTTTAGGGGCGAGCCAACAGTTCGGGGGCACATATAGATACCACGGTCTGATGAGAATGATGCTGCAAGGAGGGACCAGGGAATCTGGCCGACACTAAACACGCCGGGGACGGGCAAGACAGACGTACAATCAGACCTGTACTGCAAACATCGGAGTTCCAACTCTGATTTTCTGCTGAAGACGTGGGTGGAAAGCTTATAGGAGTGTGCCGAGTGCTCTGATGTAGGTTCTCAACTCATAAATGATAACTGATGAGCGTGGATGTTTGTTGCAGCTGCCTCGGCTCTGTCACACCCACGGGAGGAAGAGGACGAGGCTCAGACAGGGACTACAACCTCCAGCAACGACCGAGCCGACAGCTTCAGGCGGGCAGTTCCTGGGCCCCCTATGACGGATGAGCAGCGATTGTTCTGGAAGATTCTGCACAACTACGACAAGAACACACGGCCTGTGTTCAACTCCTCGCACCCTGTCAAAGTCAACATTGGAATCACATTGACCCAGATTTTCGACTTGGTGAGTAGATGCCCTCTATCAATCATTCAATCATCTTCGACGTAGAGTAGATTTGGTCTCTCATTCATTCAGTTATCATAGATATAAACATCCACTTACAATAGATATAATGTTTAGAGCAGTTATTCCCTCACCCAACTTATCCATCCGTTCATAGTATCTGTGAAAACGGATGTGCACGTAAAACTCTGGAACAATATCAAAATCTAGAAGTTACCAAATCCAAAGGTCACCAAAATCCACCATCAACCAAAACATTCCGTCTGAGATTACTTTCTCTGTGCTGCGTGCTGAATTGGACGAGTTATAATATTGTGAGAAGGAACAGATTGGTATGTTACTTATTTCCGAGAGATCTTGGGAATGTCCCGTGACCAAGTGGTGAGGGGGAGTCATTGTTGGGACCAGTGAGAAGTGTATTGGCTCGGGAGGTACATGAACGCTCGAGAAAGAAGCTGAGCGGGCTCACTGCGAGGACTGACAGGCATGGCTGACATGACGCACGAAAGAAGTATGAACTACTTGCCAGCGTGATTCTCATGTAAGCCTAAGCCACCCACATGAGTGATTCTCGTGTAGTCTGAGAATGCCCACACAAGCGTGCCTCTCGTGTAACATCCGCCGCCTACATGGGTCCGGCAAGGATATATTGGGACTGTGTAGTCAGTCAGGAGAGGTCAGTATCTCTAGAGTCAGATCGTAAATATCTCGAGTGAGAGTCAGACAGACAGAGTACCGTGCACCCGTCAGACAGTGAGGTCTGAGTGAGAGTCAGACAGACAGAGTACCGTGTACCCGTCAGACATTGACGTCTGAGTGAAAGTCAAACAGACAGAGTACCGTGTACCCGTCAGACCGTGAGTACTCAAGTGAGAGTCAGACAGACAGAGTACCGTGTCAGACAATGAGGTCGGAGTGAGTCAGACAGAGTATCGTGTACGCGTCAGACAGTGAGGTCTGAGTGAGAGTCAGACAGATAGAAAACCGTGTACGCGTCAGACAGTGAGGTCTGAGTGAGAGTCAGACAGACAGAGTACCGTGTACCCGTCAGACAGTGAGGTCTGAGTGAGAGTCAGACAGACAAAGTACCGTGTACTAGTCATACAGTGAGGTGTGAGTGAGAGTCAGACAGACAGAGCACCGTGTACCCGTGAGACAGTGAGGTCTGAGTGAGAGTCAGACAGAGAGAGTACCGTGTACCCGTCAAACAGTGAGGTCTGTGTGAGAGTCAGACAGACAGAGTACCGTGTACCCGTCAGGCATTGAGGTCAGAGTGAGAGTCAGATAGAGTACCGAGTACCCGTCAGACTTTGAGGTCTGAGTGAGAGTCAGACAGACAGAGTACCGTGTAGCGTCAGACATTGACGTCTGAGTAAAAGTCAAACAGACAGAGTACCGTGTACCCGTCAGACCGTGAGTACTCAAGTGAGAGTCAGTCAGACAGAGGACTGTGTACCCGTCAGACAGTAAGGTCGGAGTTAGGAGTCTCGGTCGCTGTCGAAGGTAGAGTCCGGCTGGCGAAGTGAGGCTAAGTGTAGTGGACGCTCCAAAGTAACTGTTCTGGGTGGCGAGGCAAGGGAGGCGTAGGTTCTTATGTAAACAGAACAGTCGCGATGCCGACGAGAGCTGTGTGCTAGAGGGGACTTGTGTTAGAAGTCCTGTCAGATGTGGGCACATGCAGGAGAACAAACAAGTGAAGTCCGTCTCCAGTTAGCCAAGGTGTCTTCTGAAGAAGTAGAATCAAGGCCTGCTTGATAAGAGAGTTGTTCCTGTTCTTCTGTACAACAAGCCCTGAGTTGCCGGACGTTGTGGACCTCAGGAGCTGTAGTGGTCAAGGAGAGGTCGCTACAAGTTAGGAGAAAGAGAGAGCGAGGACTATGTTCGAATTCCAATTAGGATCAATGTCTACGTCTTTGAGCGTGAAGTATTGTCAGTGGGAGGGCTTGTAAATACACTCTTGTGTTGTATAAATAAACCTGATGTATGGGGGAGCTAATGGCGTCGAGTCTTAATTGAGTCTGTGTCGAGAGTAGATCTAGACCTGTAGACACTTGGTGGTGTGCGGTGCATTGTGAACATTAGATAGCACACACCACTTTACACTCTAGACAGTAGAAGACGAGACGGCATAGAATATAAATAAAACAAACTGTTGTTAGGGGGTGGGGGAGAAGCCAGAAGCTAGCAGACTTTGTGTTTGTGTACAGTTCCCTTACCCCAGTGCTAGATTACCTGTATGAATGTGACACTGGTCTGCATGCCTAGTTACCAACCCTTTGAAAATAAAGTTTGATTGTTTGTTCGCTCGCTCGTATGAAGTAGATCAAGGTTTGGTTTTACTTCGGTGTAATTAGTTCCAGGCTTCCTGTGATGTCATCAGTTTGTGTGCCCAGCTCCGCCTCTGACAAAAAAGCTTTCTTGTTTACTTTCTGATCTGTTCTGTGATCTCTTCCATATTAGTCAGCTAATTTGCCGCCAACATGTGTTTTCACACTGTTGCAATATTTTACTTTCTAGAATACCTCTGTTGGAATATATATATATATATATATATATATATATATATATATATATATATATATATACACACAGAAGAAGAAATCCTGGAGTTTCTCGGTTGATGTCCATGTTTCTGATCAATCATCCGTCAGGTGTTTCCGGTATTTTCATCTTCAGGTTGACATAGAGCACCATATTTTTTCTTCGACACAAACAATCACACGATGTCGACCGGCTGGGCAGACGATACTCTCAAAGTGCGAGGTCATTGGCAGATTCTGTTAGGAGGAAAGGGCTGTTGATTGCCCTGATCAATTTGGAGAAAACGACTGTTGTTTACTCTAAACTATTTTGAGAAAACAGCTGTTTGTTGTTTACCCTGATCAATTTGGAGAAAACTGCTGTTGCTTACCCTGAACTATTTGGAAGACACGCAGTTTGAAATATTAATTTTTTTAATGTTGAATGTTGAATGAAAGTTGAATGTTCAATTAAGAATCGACATCGCAGCACTCGGGATACTCCCATTAGCGCTCCGTCCCCATCTTCAGCAGCAAGCGAAAAGTTGAATTTTCGATGGTACCAGTAACAATCTGATTGTATATCCGTCTCGCCCCTCCCCCGAGTGTCGAGCGTCGGCCAGATCCCCTTGTAACTCCTCACAGTGCCATTCTCCTCAGACCGTAATGATCTATCTGTTCCTCGGCACTGTTCATTTTTTTTAGCAGTTAGCAAGGAATGCAGACAACGGGAACCTCAACACGCCATGAACAACACTAAACCCTTACGCCATGCTTGGTAGATGATCGTCAGTACTGTTAAATACTATTGTTTCGTAGAAAATTGTGTTCAGTATTAGCTCATATTACTTATTTAGGAGTCCACATCATATCACACCGGGCATACCCTTGGATGCTCCGTCTCCCGCAGCAAATGAAATAGGTGTAGATGCTAACAGTTCCTGTAGCACACTGTTTACACACACACCGATCTCTTCCTCTCATCAGTCCCTCCTTGTGGGATTCGCACTTAATTCCTCGTTCTGATATTCTTGCCCATGTTATTTCATCTAATCTCCTGACTTGTGTCAGCAGTCGTTCATATATGGTCTTGAAAAAATCTTCCTTGTCCAGTGCGGGTGTTCCCGAAGCTTGCGCTTGTGTAGCCAAACAATTTGCTCTTTCATTCCCTCGCACTCCTGCATATCCCGGACAGTATATGCACGTGATTCCCTGCAATGTTTGCGTGCTAATGCATGGTATCAAGTCATGCCACATGCGTCCATTTTTAACCATCTTCAATATATATGTATATGTGTGTCTGTGTGTTTATATATATATATATATATATAAATGTGTGTGTGTGTGTTTTATATATATATATATATAAATGCGTGTGTGTTTGTATATATATATATATATATATATATATATATATATATATATATATATATATATATATATATATATATATATATATATATATATATATATATAAATGTGTGTGTGTGTTTATATATATATATAAATGTGTGTGTGTTTATATATATATATAAATGTGTGTGTGTGTTTTATATATATATATATATATATAAATATGTGTGTGTGTGTTTATATATATATATATATATATATATATATATATATATATATAAATGTGTGCGTGTTTATATATATATATGTAAATGTGTGTGTGTTTATATATATATATGTAAATGTGTGTGTGTTTATATATATATATATATATATATATATATATATATATATATATATATATATATATATATATATATATATATATATATATATAATGTGTGTGTGTTTATATATATATATATATATATATATATATATATATATATATATATATATATATATATATATATATATATATATAATATGTGTGTGTGTGTGTTTATATATATATATATATATATATATATATATATATATATATGTGTGTGTGTGTGTGTGTGTGTGTGTGTATACAAAATGGCATTGCACATGTGGCACTTATGTTGGCGTTGTCTTCTTGTTGCAGGACGAGAAGAACCAAGTTCTGACCACCAACGTGTGGCTCGACCAGGTAAGATCTTGGCTATTTTTTTCTTCGTTGTTGTTTAAACAAAACAATATGGCTCGAATAGGTAAGATCTTGGCTATTTCTTCCATTGTCGTTGTTTAAACAAAACAATATGGCTCGAATGGGTAAGATCTTGGCTATTTCTTCCATTGTCGTTGTTTAAACAAAACAATATGGCTCGAATGGGTAAGATCTTGGCTATTTCTTCCATTGTCGTTGTTTAAACAAAACAATATGGCTCGAATGGGTAAGATCTTGGCTATTTTTTTCCTTCGTTGTTGTTTAAACAATACAATATGGCTCGACCAGGTAAGATCTTGGCTATTTTTTCCTTCGTCTGACCAGATCTCCTTCCGGCACATATCCTGGACTCGCCATAACATGCAGCCATCTTGGCTGCTTTTTTAATCTCTTGCATTCCAGCGTCATTTCTGCAAATGTTATTGCTGAAACATGCTTGAGTACATGGGGCCTTTTACCTGAAGGAAAAGAAGAAAAGAAGAAGAAAAAGAAAAGCAAGAAAAGGGAGAAGAATAAGACAAGAGGAGGAGGAAGAAAAAGGGCAAGAAAGAAGAAGAGAAGGTGCCTGATGTTTTCAAATAGAAAAAGTGCATCTTTGAGTTACTGAACTTTAGAATCAAATATAAATGAAATGTAAGAATAAGAGGCTGTAGACAGAGAGAGTTATCAGGTTTCAATTTGAGAACCATTTGCAAGAAATACAGAGCAAATCCATCATTGCAGCACAGAATACGGCATTTCGTGGTGTACATCCGACAAAATCCGACAGTGTACACATCAAACAACATCCGACACTGTGTACATCAGACAACATCCGACACTGTGTACATCAGACAACATCCGACAGTGTGTACATCAGATAACATCCGATAGTGTGTACATCAGACAACATCCGACAGTGTGTACATCAGACAACACCCGACAGTGTGTACATCAGACAACATCCTACAGTGTGTACATCAAACAACATCTGACAGTGTGAAGTTCGCACTGCCATGTCTGGTTGACTTTGCCGAATTAAGTTGTGTTTGACTCGTTGGTTGGTTACTAACAGTTCTAATGTGTTATTCGCCCAATAATGGATCATTGACTGTTCTGTACTGTTACTGCACATTGCTTGGTTGCTGACATATGGTTTATATATTGCTTGATTAAGGACTTCTACCTGTAACCGAATTACTGATATTTGACTTATACATTTCTGGATTACTGATATCTGATGTATCCATTGCTTGGCTTCTACATCTCACTGGTCATTAACACACGTTTTTCATGGTTACTTCATTGTAATGTGTGTGTCGTATGATAACCAATATGTGATTTATCTTTTGTGTGATTACACGCAGCAATGGACCGACGAAAAGTTAGTGTGGAACCCAGAGGATTTTAACGGACTCCAGAAGTTGCGGATTCCATGCCGGCATATTTGGAAACCAGATATAGTTCTCTACAACAGGTAAATCTCGTCTGCTTGTGTTGCTGCCTGACCCGGAAGTTGACTTATTTGACTACAACATGTAAGACACAGACTTGACTGTCAGCTACAGCCTCTCTCTAGGCAGGTAAGGCACAGACTTGACTGTCAGCTACAGCCTCTCTCTAGACAGGTAAGGCACAGACTTGACTGTCAGCTACATCCTCTTTCTAGGCAGATAAGACACAGACTTGACTGTCACCTACATCCTCTCTAGGCAGGTAAGACACAGACTTGACTGTCAGCTACAGCCTCTCTCTAGGCAGGTAAGACACAGACTTGACTGTCAGCTACATCCTCTCTCTAGGCAGGTAAGACACAGACTTGACTGTCAGCTACATCCTCTCTCTAGACAGGTAAGACACAGACTTGACTGTCAGCTACATCCTCTCTCTAGACAGGTAAGACACAGACTTGACTGGCAGCTACATCCTCTCTTTGGGCAGGTAAGACACAGACTTGACTGTCAGCTACATCCTCTCTCTAGGCAGGTTAGACACAGACTTGAGTGTCAGCTACAGTCTCTCTCTAGGCAGGTAAGACACAGACTTGACTGTCAGCTACAGCCTCTCTCTAGGCAGGTTAGACACAGACTTGACTGTCAGCTACAGCCTCTCTCTAGGCAGGTAAGACACAGACTTGACTGTCAGCTACAGCCTCAGTCTGGGCAGGTAAGACACAGACTTGACTGTCAGCTACATCCTTTCTCTGGGCAGGTAAGACACAGACTTGACTATCAGCTACAGCCTCAGTCTGGACAGGTAAGACACAGACTTGACTGTCAGCTACATCCTCTCTCTGGGCAGGTAAGACACAGACTTGACTGTCAGCTACAGCCTCTCTCTAGGCAGGTAAGACACCGACTTGACTGTCAGCTACATCCTCTCTCTGGGCAGGTAAGACACAGACTTGACTGTCAGCTACATCCTCTTTCTAGGCAGGTAAGACACAGACTTGACTGTCAGCTACATCCTCTCTCTGGGCAGGTAAGACACAGACCTGACTGTCAGCTACATCCTCTCTCTAGACAGGTAAGACACAGACTTGACTGTCAGCTACATCCTCTCTCTGGGCAGGTAAGACACAGACTTGACTGTCAGCTACAGCCTCTCTCTAGACAGATAAGACTCAGACTTAACTGTCAGCTACAGCCTCTCTCTAGGCAGGTAAGACACAGACTTGACTGTCAGCTACATCCTCTATCTGCGCAGGTAAGACACAGACTTGACTGTCAGCTACATCCTCTCTCTGCGCAGGTAAGACACAGACTTGACTGTCAGCTACATCCTCTCTCTTGGCAGGTAAGACACAGACTTGGCTATCAGCTACAGCCTCAGTCTGGGCAGGTAAGACACAGACTTGACTGTCAGCTACATCCTCTCTCTAGGCAGGTAAGACACAGACTTGACTGTCAGCTACATCCTCTCTCTGGGCAGGTAAGACACAGACTTGACTGTCAGCTACATCCTCTCTCTAGACAGATAAGACTCAGACTTAACTGTCAGCTACAGCCTCTCTCTAGGCAGGTAAGACACAGACTTGACTGTCAGCTACATCCTCTATCTGCGCAGGTAAGACACAGACTTGACTGTCAGCTACATCCTCTCTCTGCGCAGGTAAGACACAGACTTGACTGTCAGCTACATCCTCTCTCTTGGCAGGTAAGACACAGACTTGGCTATCAGCTACAGCCTCAGTCTGGGCAGGTAAGACACAGACTTGACTGTCAGCTACATCCTCTCTCTAGGCAGGTAAGACACAGACTTGACTGTCAGCTACAGCCTCTCTCTAGGCAGGTAAGACACAGACTTAACTGTCAGCTACAGCCTCTCTCTAGCCAGGTAAGACACAGACTTGACTGTCAGCTACATCCTCTCTCTGCGCAGGTAAGACACAGACTTGACTGTCAGCTACAGCCTCTCTCTAGGCAGGTAAGACACAGACTTGACTGTCAGCTACATCCTCTCTCTAGACATGTAAGACACAGACTTGACTGTCAGCTACATCCTCTCTCTAGACAGGTAAGACACAGACTTGACTGTCAGCTACATCCTCTCTTTGGGCAGGTAAGACACAGACTTGACTGTCAGCTACATCCTCTCTCTAGGCAGGTAAGACACAGACTTGAATGTCAGCTACATCCTCTCTCTAGACAGGTAAGACACAGACTTGACTGTCAGCTACATCCTCTCTTTGGGCAGGTAAGACACAGACTTGACTGTCAGCTACAGCCTCTCTCTAGGCAGGTGAGACACAGACTTGACTGTCAGCTACAGCCTCTCTAGGCAGGTAAGACACAGACTTGACTGTCAGCTACAGCCTCAGTCTGGGCAGGTAAGACACAGACTTGACTGTCAGCTACATCCTCTCTCTGGGCAGGTAAGACACAGACTTGACTGTCAGTTACATCCTCTCTCTAGGCAGGTAAGACACAGACTTGACTGTCAGCTACATCCTCTCTCTGGGCAGGTAAGACACAGACTTGATTGTCAGCTACATCCTCTCTCTAGACAGGTAAGACACAGACTTGACTGTCAGCTACATCCTCTCTCTAGGCAGGTAAGATACAGACTTGACTGTCAGCTACAGCCTCTCTCTAGGCAGGTAAGACACAGACTTGACTGTCACCTATATCCTCTCTCTAGGCAGGGGTAGCATCACTTCGGCTGTGTTTGTCTTAGTTCTGTTTCCTTGACGGATTTACTGCTCAAAGTGTATTCCCTGTTGTTATGACGGCTCACTTGGTCTAACACTTGTCTGCTCCTGTTCTCGCCGTTACAATAATTGCTTTTAACATTTTGTTTTCTCTTGGTCATTCTTTAAATTCTTGTCAACTTTTTTCTACGACATGTTTACACAACATGGCAGTTCAGGATGGCCACAGGTCAGTGTCTGTCCGGAAAGTCCTTCAAACTAATTTCTGCTAAACGATGTCCCTACAGACTTGTATCTGCCCAGACTGTTCTTTCAGACTTGTATCTGCCCAGACTGTTCTTTCAGACTTGTCTCAGCCCAGACTGTTCTTTCAAACTTGTATCTGCGCAGGATGTTCCTCCCACAGACTTGTATCTGCCCAGGATGTTCCTTCTACAGACTTTTATCTGCCCAGGATGTTCCTCCCACAGACTTGTATCTACCCAGGAAGTTCCTTCTGCGGACTACTATCTGCCCAAGATGTTCCTTCTGCAGACTTCTATCTGGCCAGGATATTCCTCCCACAGACTTGTATCTGCCCAGCATGTTCCTCTATAGATTTGTATCTGCCCAGCATGTTCTATAGACTTGCATCTGTCCAGGATGTTCCTCTATAGACTTGCATCTGCCCAGGATGTTCCTCTATAGACTTGCATCTGTCCAGGATGTTCCTCTATAGACTTGCATCTGTCCAGGATGTTCCTCTATAGACTTGCATCTGCCCAGCATGTTCCTCTAAAGATTTTTATCTGCCCAGCATGTTCCTCTATAGACTTGCATCCGCCCAGCATGTTCCTCTATAGATTTGTATCTGTCCAGGATGTTCCTCTATAGACTTGCATCTGTCCAGGATGTTCCTTCTGCAGACTACTATCTGCACAGGATGTTCCTTCTGCTGACTTCTATCTGGCCAGGATATTCCTCCTACAGACTTGTTTCTGCCCAGGATGTTCCTTTATAGACTTTATCTGTCCAGGATGTTCCTCTATAGACTTGTATCTGTCCAGGATGTTCCTCTATAGACTTGTATCTGTCCAGGATGTTCCTCTATAGACTTGTATCTGCCAAGGATGTTCCTCCTTCAGACGTGTATCTGCACAGGATTGTCCTCTATAGACTTGTATTTGTCCAGATGTCCCTACGTTCTTGTATATGCCCTGAGTGTTCCTACATTTTTGTATCTTCCATGGATGTTCCTGGGTATCACTGTCGATATAAGCCTTGTTTTATGGATCATTATAGCAACAATGGAAATGGAGCAAAGAATGCTGTTCACAATGTTCCAGCATATGATCCTCTCTGTGATAGATTATGAACGGGATATAAAGACTGTATTAAAAATGAAACTTGAACGCTATACGGGTGATTCTGGGATGTACAAAAGATACCCAGTTAGTATTTATGCGACATATACTTGCACTGCCTACTGTTGCAGATAGGCTGAAAGTTATGCAATTGAAGTCCTACTTCGGAGTAGTAGCACACAAGAACCACCTCCTGCATGAAGCCCTGGCTAGAGCTAACTGGGGTCACTAACTAGAAAAAGGAAGTTCCTAGACTATCCAAGCGGAAGATACGATTAGAGACTTGTGCAGGCTTGATAAATTTGGACGAGAGAAGGTGTGGGCCAGAGAGTTCAAGCAAGAATCAAAGTTGTGATGGGTTCTGATCACACTAGGCCATTAGTGCAGGGACTGGCTAGCAGGTGCTGCAGAATCAGAAGTTCAATAGATGAAACATAAGTCCCCGGGGACTCAGAGCAAAAGCGAATTTATCTCGTTAAGTTCAACAAAGCCTGGCATACAATACCAAAACGTCATGTTTGAGAATGGAGGTTGGGGCAGTCACTGCAGCTTTCCGCTGGGTTGAGAATCAGCATTACACGCATCACGTATTTGTACCTGACTCACAAAACATGTTGACAAGAGTGGCGACAGGCAGGCTCCATTGCAGAGTGGCAAGCATCGATTCAGAGGTCCTAGGTAATGCCGGTGTGTTGGCATATAGACGCTTGGTTCTGCACCACGAGGCGGTGAACTGAACTGATGAATTATTAGCTAGATGCTGTAAGGTGATTTGGTAAAGCGTGAACAGTGGGAAAGTATAAACAGATCATTACGTTTTGGAAAGAAAGAATGGCGCTGCGAGGAGTTACCAGCTGATTTGGCCTACAAATTTACATCAGGAAGATAACAATTCGTGGGCTTAGAGCTTCATCAGTGATTTAGTCTCCTTTCACAATCTACGTCATTGCTTCAATGACCTTTCACTAGCTGTATCCGTGCTTCAATCTCCATTCACGTGTTACATCGGTACTTTAATCTTCCTGCCTCACCCCGATGCCCTCCAGACATTTGGAATCATGACATCTCCAACGGTCCTGATTGCCAGCAGCAACAGCACCATGAAATCATTCTTGGATCTGCTTTTGGATGTATGCAAGATGCCATATTGCTATACAAAGGCAACACAGCTCTACTCGTCATGCACCAATGCTGACAGTTGAAGGACATTTATGGCACCTTAACAATGACATAATCAATTGACACAAACCTTTGCCAAGATCTATAGAAACTTATGAAGATATTGAAATTATCTCTCCTTGACTTCAACCCTACTCTTGGTTTGTGACCTCATGATTTGACAGCAGTTTCCGACTGCTGGGACTAGGAGATGGCGAACACATGTATTCAGTTGCACAGTTGTCCACTTTAGTTGCTAGACACTTTGATCCTAGTTTCCTTGTTCCAACAATGTTGCAGAACTGACCACTTCAGTTGCTAGACACTATCCTCGTAGTTTCCTTGTTCCAACAAATGTGGCACAGCTGTCCACTTTAGTTGGTAGACACTCCTATTGTAGTTTCCGTTGCACAGTTGTCAACTTCAGTTGCTAGAGACTCCCATCGTGGTTTCCTTGTTACAACAAATGTACGATGCTTGTGGCCCTCAAGTGTGGCTAGTCAGTGTTTTTCCTTCTAAGTTACAATAGGTGTTTAGATGATTCTCTCTTCTGTTAAAAAAGCCACATGTGTGGCATGAAATAAAATTTCAAAAACCATGCATAAATCTTTGAATAATTTAAAAAAAAAAAAATGCTTGCCTTTCGTCAGCCATGTTTATCCAGACATAATTCCAAATAGACGAATAAACACCAGCAAATATTGCCCCAAAAGGCAGCGCTTTCCTGGCCCGGGTGTCAACGGATCTTGCTATCCAGCTCTAAATCATGCCTGATGGCATCAGATTTACGCCAATTGTAATTTTTTGTGATTAACTTTGGACCGGCAAAAATGCCAATCTGTTTGTGTGATTTATGGGTGACGGTTGTTCGTTCATCGTCCTGTAGGTTCAACAGCGACGCGAATCGACAGTGATATTTAAATGTTGTTCCCTTTTCTACTAAGCTATTGGCAACGGGGCTCCTTCTCTTAGACCTGTTATGTTTCAGTAATGATTCTATATAATCACCGGCTGTTGTCTTGTTCCGTGAGGCAATGCTTGCATGTTTACATTAGCAAATTATTGTCTCACGTAAACTATTCCATGAAAGAAGTGGCTTTGTAGGGAAGAAGCGGGTCCACATCTGATCACTTCTTAGCGCCCCATGGACTATGAGAGTTTCTGCCAGACATTGACACAGCTACAGATGGACTACGCGAGTCACTGACCGCTACTGAGATAGCGCCCGATTGACTACGCGAGTCACTGACAGCAATTGAGATAGCGACCGATGAACTACCAAAGTCACTAGGAGCCACTGCATCGACATCAGTCCTGAAAGTGAGGCAATATTGAAAAAAGACTCTTCAAGCAGAGAGGAGTTGAAAACAATGTGGAGACGGAGTCATCAGTTGAACAGATGAAGACGAAGAGAAATGATTTTGCACTGTCCAAGATAGCAGCTTGGAAGACTATCGCCAATAGACTGGGTTGAGGACATCCAGGAGATCTATACAGCGACAAAAGACCCTGAAGTCGTCTAGATCATCTGGACAAGCAGAAGCCAAACAGTCCGAGGACAATACTTACACAAGGTCCCATACTTGTGGTTTGTCAGTTGTCATTGCTGAGGTTAAAATGTGACACGTCATTGCTGAGGTTAAAATGTGACACGTCACTGCTGATGTTGAAATGTAACACGTCACTGCTCATGTTGAAATGTGATACGTCACTGCTGATGTTGAAATGTGACACGTCACTGTTGATGTTGAAATGTGACATGTCACTGCTGATGTTGAAATGTGACATGTCACTGCTGATGTTGAAATGTGACACGTCACTGCAGATGTTGAAATGTGACACGTCACTGCTGATGTTGAAATGTGACATGTCACTGCTGATGTTGAAATGTGACACGTCACTGCGTTAGCCGCATTCGTCATCACCTTAGCTGTGTGGTCGCGTTAGTCGCACTCGCCATTACCTTAGCTGTGTGGCTTTGTTAGACGCACTCGCCATTACCTTAGCTGTGTGGCCTTGTTAGACGCACTCGCAATCACCTTAGCTGTGTGGCCTTGTTAGTCGCACTAGTCATGACCTTAGCTGTGTGGTCGCGTTAGTCGCACTCGCCATCACCTTAGCTGTGTGGCGGCCTGTTAGTCGCACTCGCCATTACCTTAGCTGTGTGGCGGCCTGTTAGTCGCAATCGCCTATACCTTAGCTGTGTGGCGGCCTGTTAGTCGTACTCGCCATCACCTTAGCTGTGTGGCGGCCTGCTAGTCGCACTCGCCTATACCTTAGCTGTGTGGCGGCCTGCTAGTCGCACTCGCCTATACCTTAGCTGTGTGGCGGCCTACTAGTCGTACTCGCCTATTCCTTAGCTGTGTGGCGAATTGTTAGTCGCACTCACCATCACTTTAGCGCTGTGGCGGCCTGTTAGTAGCACTCGCCATCACCTTAGCTGTGTGGCGGTCTGTTAGTCGCAATCGCCATTACCTTAGCTGTGTGGCGGTCTGTTAGTCGCAATCGCCATTACCTTAGCTGTGTGGCGGCCTGTTAGTCGCAATCGCCATTGCCTTAGGTGTGTGGCGGTCTGCTAGTCGTACTCGCCATTACCTTAGCTGTGTGGCGGCCTGTTAGTCGTACTCACCATTACCTTAGCTGTGTGGCGGCCTGTTAGTCGTACTCGCCATCACCTTAGCTGTGTGGCGGCCTGCTAGTCGCACTCGCCTATACCTTAGCTGTGTGGCGGCCTGTTAGTCGCACTCGCCATTACCTTAGCTGTGTGGCGGCCTGTTAGTCGCACTCGCCATTACCTTAGCTGTGTGGCGGCCTGTTAGTCGCAATCGCCATCACCTTAGCTGTGTGGCGGCCTGTTAGTCGCACTCACCATCACTTTAGCGCTGTGGCGGCCTTTTAGTCGCACTCGCCATTACCTTAGCTGTGTGGCGGCCTGTTAGTCGCACTCGACATTACCTTAGCTGTGTGGCGGCCTGTTAGTCGTCCTCAACACCACTTTAGCTGTGTGGCGGCCTGTTAGTCGTACTCACCATCACTTTAGCTGTGTGGCGGCCTGTTAGTCGTACTCACTATCACTTTAGCTGTGTGGTGGCCTGTTAGCCGTCCTCACCATCACTTTAGCTGTGTGGCGGCCTGTTAGTCGTACTCACCATCACTTTAGCTGTGTGGCGGCCTGTTAGTCGTCCTCACCATCACTTTAGCTGTGTGGCGGCCTGTTAGCCGTACTCACCATCACTTTAGCTGTGTGGCGGCCTGTTAGTCGTCCTCACCATCACTTTAGCTGTGTGGCGGCCTGTTAGCCGTACTCACCATCACTTTAGCTGTGTGGCGGCCTGTAAGTCGTCCTCACCATCACTTTAGCTGTGTGGCGGCCTGTTAGCCGTACTCGCCATTACCTTAGCTACGACTGGCATGCCTCTCTACGGCTCAGTGTAAAGAGAACCAGGAAAGTGGCCAATTAAAACAGTAAGACACGAATAGTAGACTGAAATACTGACTAATGGTCAAGTTTGTAACAACTGTAACGTCTCTATAACAAACCAGCTTGCATTGTGTTCTGGTTTCAGCTGGGAGTGGCACCCGCAGCTCTTGCTGGTTCTCTACTCGTGATCAACAGTTGCCTGGCTGATCTGCTAGACAGGCAGGCAGACGCTCATGTTCAAATATCGCAGCGATAGCTGGACAGACAACATACATTTAAAGGGACAGACAGACAGACAGACAGACAGACAGACAGACAGACAGACAGACAGACAGACAGACAGACAGACAGACAGACAGACAGACAGACAGACAGACAGACAGACAGACAGACAGACAGACAGACAGACGAACAGACAAACAGACAGACGAACAGACAAACAGACAGACGAACAGACAAACAGACAGACAGACAGACAGACGAACAGACAGACAGACAGCTGATACAAGTCACGTGTCTCCCCAGCGTGGAAGACTACACAGACAGACAGACAGACAGACATATATCGTGGGGATGAATAGACAGACAGCTGATACAAGTCCCGTGTCTCCCCAGCGTGGAAGACTACACAGACAGACAGACAGACAGACATATATCGTGGGGATGAATAGACAGACAGCTGATACAAGTCTCGTGTCTCCCCAGCGTGGAAGACTACACAGACAGACAGACAGACATATATCGTGGGGATGAATAGACAGACAGACAGCTGATACAAGTCACGTGTCTCCCCAGCGTGGAAGACTACACAGACAGACAGACAGACATATATAGTGGGGATGAATAGACAGCCAGACAGCTGATACAAGTCTCGTGTCTCCCCAGCGTGGAAGACTACACAGACAGACAGACATATATCGTGGTGATGAATAGACAGACAGACAGCTGATACAAGTCACGTGTCTCCCCAGCGTGGAAGACTACACAGACAGACAGACATATATAGTGGGGATGAATAGACAGACAGACAGCTGATACAAGTCTCGTGTCTCCCCAGCGTGGAAGACTACACAGACAGACAGACATATATCGTGGGGATGAATAGACAGACAGACAGCTGATACAAGTCACGTGTCTCCCCAGCGTGGAAGACTACACAGACAGACAGACAGACAGACATATATAGTGGGGATGAATAGACAGACAGACAGCTGATACAAGTCTCGTGTCTCCCCAGCGTGGAAGACTACACAGACAGACAGACAGACATATATCGTGGGGATGAATAGACAGACAGACAGCTGATACATGTCACGTGTCTCCCCAGCGTGGAAGACTACACAGACGGCTACATGCAGGCGTTGGCGATGGTGTCCCACACTGGCCAGGTGTTCTGGCCGCCTATAGTCAAGTTTTACAGCACTTGCCAGATAGACATCACCTACTTCCCATTTGACGACCAAATCTGCATGATGAAACTTGGCTCTTGGGCCTACGATGGATTTCAAGTATGCTTTTGTGTTGCCAGTTTTATTGGCGTTATTGTTGTCTGTCTGGCCCCGTGTCTGTCTGTGTGTGTGTGTGGGTGGCCCCGTGTCTGTCTATGTGTGTGTGTGGGTGGCCCCGTGTCTGTCTATGTGTGTGTGTGTGGGTGGCCCCGTGTCTGTGTGTGTGCGTGGTGTGTGTGTGTGTATGTATGTGTGTGTCTGGCCCCGTGTCTGTGTGTGTGTGTGTGTGGTGTTTGTGTGTGTGGGTGTGTGTATGTGTGTGTGTGTGTCTGCGACGGACAGGGGTAAGTTCAAAAAGCAAGGATATAACTCCATGAGTGTGTTTGTCGTGTTATGTTTGACAGAGAGAGCCGATCTATCCTCCTCAACAATTGGAACAATCTGGTTACACAAACTTGACAACATTAGTGCTGAATATGACATCTTATATAATATATTCAATTAGATTGGTCCGGAAGACCTGGAGATCTGATTAACATATGAATGAACAGAAGCTCCAGGCTGAACAACGTTTAGTCAAGAGATGCTAACTATTCTGAAAGAAAGTCGAAGGAGACATACACTCCGCCACCTCAGACAACAGACGCTTTAAGCCATTAAATGTCCAGTGGTATCAGGTTATTGGATTAGTCTGACCTGTTTGAGGGCAGTACTTCACCTAAAGCACATCTCGGGTCGACTGTTTGGTGCAGGTCGGACACTAGATCGGCTTCTAGTCCAAGCATCTGTTTGTAGACAACTCCACTTGGGCAGAACCATTGATTACACAGTGCTGGAGTCTTCTCCTTTCCTTCACTCTCTTCCTTCATCTACTTTTCCCTAAAGCATTTCCTTTCGTCCTGTTTCTGGAACTCCCACTTGCTCTCCACATTTACATGACCCCAATTTTACTCATCATCCCCTTTCTTCTTGTTATTCCCCACCTCCTTCTTCTATTTCCTCGTAATGCCATTCACTTTTGTTTGATTTTGTTTTGTAATCAAGCAAATCCCTCTTATTACTGTATTTTAAATATTTAACAGTAAAATGAGTTTACCCTCTCACAACACATCTGTCTGTAGCTCAGCTTCTGACCCTATCACAACAGATCTGTCTGTAGCTCAGCCTCTGACCCTATCACAACAAATCTGTCTGTAGCTCAGCCTCTGACCCTATCACAACAGATCTGTCTGTAGCTCAGCTTCTGACCCTATCACAACAAATCTGTCTGTAGCTCAGCCTCTGACCCTATCACAACAAATCTGTCTGTAGCTCAGCTTCTGACCCTATCACAACAAATCTGTCTGTAGCTCAGCCTCTGACCCTATCACAACAAATCTGTCTGTAGCTCAGCTTCTGACCCTATCACAACAAATCTGTCTGTAGCTCAGCCTCTGACCCTATCACAACAAATCTGTCTGTAGCTCAGCTTCTGACCCTATCACAACAGATCTGTCTGTAGCTCAGCCTCTGACCCTATCACAACAAATCTGTCTGTAGCTCCACGTCTGACCCTATCACAACAGATCTGTCTGTAGCTCAGCTTCTGACCCTATCACAACACATCTGTCTGTAGCTCCACGTCTGACACTCTCACAACACATCTGTCTGTAGCTCAGCCTCTGACCTTATCACAACAAATCTGTCTGTAGCTCAGCCTCTGACCCTCTCACAACAAATGATGAAATAAACGTACAGACTGTCTTCGGCAGAAAACTTTCTGAGATGATTGCGTATTCGCGTCCCAAACAAAAGTTGCATATTGTTTGACACATTCTCTGTTCACGTGCTGGCGTTGTGGACGCTGCTGTTGGTGAAAATACTGATGGGTAAATCAGGGCCAGGGGAGTGTGTGGGCCTCTACAGTGTGCTCAAGGGGGAAACCGTCAGGGAGGTGCCTGGGCCTCTACAGTGTGCTCAAGGGGCAAACCGTCAGGGAGGGGCCCGGGCCTCCACAGTGTGATCAAGGGGGAAACCGTCAGGGAGGGAAATGGCGCCTTGCCTGTTTCACATAGCAGCCTTACGCTGGACCTATGGCTGTAACAAGGGCATTAGCATGGCTTGGTGCTCAAGAGTTCATGCACGCGTTCGTACTTAGTGACTCGTTGAATATGCTCAAGAAGATACATGCTGGGTTCGTTAATCAACAATGGACTGCAACAATGAACACAGTGTCTGGCCTAACCTTCATATTTGTGCCAGGTCATGCGCGTGTTCGAGGCAACCTCCGTGGCTATGGCTAGTCTGGTACTGGACAGAACGAAGCGATGTCCTGGTATTATTGGGAAGACTAAAGCGCCGAATGGCATGACATGGTATCCTTGTCTAGGCTGATGCCAAGGGTCTCCAGCTGCAAGACACGAACGTCTCACTGAGGGGACAAGACGTTTGAATAATCAACACAGAACAGGCGTCATCAGTCGTTGCACACTTGTGCAGCTTCTGAGACGGAGACCAGAGCACCTAAGGATCTGTCTAGAGTGCTGTGATGAGGATGATGCTCACTAATCACAAATTGTTTTCACTACATGAACTTCTATATTATTTTCATAGCTGAAATTGTTTGTGTCTGTGTGTGTGTGTCTGTGTGTGTGTGTGTCTGTGTGTGTGTGTCTGTGTGTGTGTGTCTGTGTGTGCGTGTCTGTGTGTGTGTGTCTGTGTGTGTGTCTGTGTGTGTGTCTGTGTGTGTGTCTGTGTGTGTGTGTCTGTGTGTGTGTGTCTGTGTGTGTGTGTGTGTGTGTGTGTGTGTCTGTGTGTGTCTGTGTGTGTGTCTCTGTGTGTGTCTCTGTGTGTGTCTGTGTGTGTCTGTGTGTGTGTCTCTGTGTCTGTGTGTGTCTGTGTGTGTGTCTCTGTGTGTGTCTCTGTGTGTGTCTGTGTGTGTCTGTGTGTGTGTCTCTGTGTGTTTCTGTGTGTGTGTCTCTCTGTGTGTGTGTGTGTGTGTCTCTGTGTGTGTCTGTGTGTGTCTCTGTGTATGTCTGTGTGTCTGTGTGTGTGTGTCTGTGTGTGTGTGTCTGTGTGTGTATGTGTGTCTGCGTGTGTCTGTGTGTGTCTGTGTATGTCTGTGTGAGTGTTGTGTGACTGTGTGTGTGAGTGTCTGTGTGTGTCTGTGTGTGTCTGTGTGTGTCTGTGTGTGTCTGTGTGTGTGTGTCTGTGTGTGTCTTTGTGTGTCTGTGTGTGTCTCTGTGTGTGTGTGTGTGTCAGTGTGTGTCTGTGTGAGTCTGTGTGTGTGTCTGTGTGTGTCTGTGTGTGTGTGTCTGTGTGTGTGTGTCTCTGTGTGTCTCTGTGTGTCTGTGTGTGTCTCTGTGTGTCTGTGTGTGTGTGTGTGTCAGTGTGTGTCTGTGTTTGTCTGTGTGTGTCTGTGTGTGTGTCTGTGTGTGTCTGTGTGTGTGTGTGTCTGTGTGTCTCTGTGTGTGTGTGTCTGTGTGTGTCTGTGTCAGTCTGTGTGCGTCTGTGTGTGTCTTATGTGTCTGTGTGTGTGTTTGTCTGTGTGTGTCTGTGTTTGTCTGTGTGTGTCTGTGTGTGTCTGTGTGTGTGTCTGTGTGTGTGTGTCTGTGTGTGTCTGTGTGTGTCTGTGTGTCTCTGTGTGTCTGTGTGTGTGTGTCTGTGTGTGTCTCTGTATCTCTGTGTGTCTGTCTGTGTGTGTCTGTGTGTGTCTGCGTGTGTCTGTGTGTGTCTGTATGTGTCTGTATGTGTCTGTGTGTGTCTGTGTGTGTCTGTGTGTGTGTCTGTGTATGTGTGTCTGTACGTGTCTGTCTATGTGTGTCTGTATGTGTCTATGTGTGCCTGTTTGTGTCTGTGTGTGTCTATATGTGACTGTATGTGTCTGTGTGTGTCTGTTTGTGTCTGTGTAGTGTGTTTTTGTTTTTTGTATGTGTGTATTTTGTTTGATGAATAGATGCAACTTCATTACCATTTTTTCTAGATGAAGTTGTATAATGTTTTAACTATGTGAAGTGAAGAATCCGTTTCTGTAAGCTGAAGCTGTCAGATGTTGTGTGCAGACTGGTGATAACTTCAGCTCTCATGCTCCACAGGTAGATGTTAACAACCGTTCTCTGCCCGTCGACCTTAGCAATTATGTCAGTAACGGTAAGCAGCCCAGATATTTGAATCATTGTCTCTTAGGACCCCACTTGTTACAGTCTGAAGTCATTTCCATCATCACACAGTATAGGTGTCAACATCACACAGTACTCATGTCAACATCTTACAGTATAGATGTCAAAATCACTCAGAATAGCTGTCAAAATTACACAGTAAAGGTGTTATCATTACACAATATAGGTATTAACATTAAACAATAGAGGTGTGCACAGCACACAGTATTAGTGTCAAAATCATATAGTATAGAAAAAAAAGAGAAACAATCAGTACAAGTGTTAACATCACACAGTACAGGTGTCAACATCACACATTATAGGTGTCAACATCAAAAAGTATAGATGTTATTATCATACAGTATAGATATCATAATAACACAGTACAGGTGTCAACATCACACAGTACAGGCGTCAACATAACACCGTATACACATCAACATCACACATTATAGGAGTCAACATCACACAGTATAGGCATCAACATCACACAGTATAGGTGTCCACATCACACAGTATAGGTGTCACCATCACACAGTGAAGGTGGTATTATCTTACAGTATAGATATAAAAAAACACAACACAGGTGTCAACATCACACAGTATAGGTATCAACATACCACAGTATAGGCATCAAAATCACACAGTATAGGTGTCAACATCACACAGTATAGGTGTCAACATCACACAGTATAGGTGTCAACATCACACAGCATAGGTGTCAAAACACACAGTATAGGTATCAACATCACACAAAAAAGGTGTCAACAACACACAGTATATGTGTCAACATCACACAGTATAGGCATAAACATCACACAGTATAGGTGTCAACATCACACAGTATAGGTGTAAACATGACACAGTAAAGGAGTCAAAATCATACAATATAGGCATCAACATAACAAAGTATAGGTGTCAACATCACACAGTATAGGTGTCAATATTGCATGGTATAGGCATCAACATCACACATTATTGGTGTCAACATTATACAGTAATGGTGTCAAAACCCTACCATATAGGTGTCAACATCAAACGGTATAGGCGACAACATTACAAGGTATAGGCCTCAACATCACACAGCATAGGCATCAACATCACACAGTATAGGCGTCAGCATCAGACAGTATAGGTGTCAACATCAGACAGTATAGGCGTCAACATCAGACAGTATAGGTGTCAACATCAGACAGTATAGTTGTCAGCATCACACAGTATAGGTGTCCACATCACACAGTATAGGTGTCACCATCACACAGTGAAGGTGGTATTATCTTACAGTATAGATATAAAAAAACACAACACAGGTGTCAACATCACACAGTATAGGTATCAACATACCACAGTATAGGCATCAAAATCACACAGTATAGGTGTCAACATCACACAGTATAGGTGTCAACATCACACAGTATAGGTGTCAACATCACACAGCATAGGTGTCAAAACACACAGTATAGGTATCAACATCACACAAAAAAGGTGTCAACAACACACAGTATATGTGTCAACATCACACAGTATAGGCATAAACATCACACAGTATAGGTGTCAACATCACACAGTATAGGTGTAAACATGACACAGTAAAGGAGTCAAAATCATACAATATAGGCATCAACATAACAAAGTATAGGTGTCAACATCACACAGTATAGGTGTCAATATTGCATGGTATAGGCATCAACATCACACATTATTGGTGTCAACATTATACAGTAATGGTGTCAAAACCCTACCATATAGGTGTCAACATCAAACGGTATAGGCGACAACATTACAAGGTATAGGCCTCAACATCACACAGCATAGGCATCAACATCACACAGTATAGGCGTCAGCATCAGACAGTATAGGTGTCAACATCAGACAGTATAGGCGTCAACATCAGACAGTATAGGTGTCAACATCAGACAGTATAGTTGTCAGCATCACACAGTATAGGCGTCACCATCACACAGTGAAGGTGGTATTATCTTACAGTATAGATTTAAAAAAACACAACACAGGTGTCAACATCACACAGTATAGGCATCAACATCACACAGTATAGGTGTCAACATCACACAGTATAGGTGTCAACATCACACAGTATAGGTGTCAACATCACACAGCATAGGTGTCAAAACACACAGTATAGGTATCAACATCACACAAAAAAGGTGTCAACAACACACAGTATATGTGTCAACATCACACAGTATAGGCATAAACATCACACAGTATAGGTGTCAACATCACACAATACAGGCAACAACATCACACAGTATAGGTGTCAACATCACACAGTATAGGTGTTAACATGACACAGTAAAGGAGTCAAAATCATACAATATAGGCATCAACATAACAAAGTATAGGTGTCAACATCACACAGTATAGGTGTCAATATTGCATGGTATAGGCATCGACATCACACATTATTGGTGTCAACATTATACATTAATGGTGTCTAAACCCTACCATATAGGTGTCAACATCACACAGTATAGGCGACAACATTACAAGGTATAGGCCTCAACATCACACAGCATAGGCATCAACATCACACAGTATAGGCGTCAGCATCAGACAGTATAGGTGTCAACATCAGACAGTATAGGCGTCAACATCAGACAGTATAGGTGTCAACATCAGACAGTATAGTTGTCAACATCACACAGTATAGGCGTCACCATCACACAGTGAAGGTGGTATTATCTTACAGTATAGATATAAAAAAACACAACACAGGTGTCAACATCACACAGTATAGGCATCAACATCACACAGTATAGGTGTCAACATCACACAGTATAGGTGTCAACATCACACAGTATAGGTGTCAACATCACACAGCATAGGTGTCAAAACACACAGTATAGGTATCAACATCACACAAAAAAGGTGTCAACAACACACAGTATATGTGTCAACATCACACAGTATAGGCATAAACATCACACAGTATAGGTGTCAACATCACACAATACAGGCAACAACATCACACAGTATAGGTGTCAACATCACACAGTATAGGTGTTAACATGACACAGTAAAGGAGTCAAAATCATACAATATAGGCATCAACATAACAAAGTATAGGTGTCAACATCACACAGTATAGGTGTCAATATTGCATGGTATAGGCATCGACATCACACATTATTGGTGTCAACATTATACATTAATGGTGTCTAAACCCTACCATATAGGTGTCAACATCACACAGTATAGGCGACAACATTACAAGGTATAGGCCTCAACATCACACAGCACAGGCATCAACATCACACAGTATAGGCGTCAGCATCAGACAGTATAGGTGTCAACATCAGACAGTATAGTTGTCAACATCACACAGTATAGGCGTCAACATCACACAGTATAGGCGTCAACATCACACAGTATAGGCGTCAACATCACACATTATAGGCGTCAACATCACACAGTATAGGTGTCAACACCACACAGTATAGGCGTCACAATCACACAGTATAGGCGTCAACATCAGACAGTATAGGTGTCAACATCAGACAGTATAGGCGTCAGCATCAGACAGTATAGGTGTCAACATCAGACAGTATAGGTGTCAACATCAGACAGTATAGGTGACAACATCAGACAGTATAGGTGTCAACATCAGACAGTATAGGCGTCAACATCAGACAGTATAGGTGTCAACATCAGACAGTATAGGTGTCAACATCAGACAGTATAGGTGTCAACATCAGACAGTATAGGTGTCAACATCAGACAGTATAGGCGTCAACATCAGACAGTATAGGTGTCAACATCAGACAGTATAGGCGTCAACATCACACAATAAAGGCGTCAAAATCACACAATAAAGGTGTCAGTATTGCACAGTATAGGTGTCATTATTGCACAGTATAGGTGTCAACATCACACAGTATAGGTTTCAATATTGCACAGTTTAGGTGTCAATATTGCACAGTATATGCTTCGACGTCACCCACGTGTTTGACAAACTGGCACACTGTTTTTGTCAGGTCCAGCACTGTGGTCTCGATAATATCATTTAAATTAGTGACGTCACATATCTCTTTTGATAGTATTTTGTCTTTTGTAATATCACAACTCTGTTTCCGAAACACAAGATCTTTTCCCCAGTCAAGACAAGTTCACATCTCTGTCCCCAGCATGACAATATCACATCTCTCTCCCTGACAAGTTCACATCTCTGTCCCCAGCATGACAATATCACATCTCTCTCCCTGACAAGTTCACATCTCTGTCCCCAGCATGACAATATCACATCTCTCTCCCTGACAAGTTCACATCTCTGTCCCCAGCATGACAATATCACATCTCTCTCCTTGACAAGTTCACATCTCTGTCCGCAGCATGACAATATCACATCTCTCTCCCTGACAAGACAAGTTCACATCTCTGTCCCCAGCATGACAATATCACATCTCTCTCCCTGACAAGACAAGTTCACATCTCTGTCCCCAGCATGACAATATCACATCTCTCTCCCTGACAAGACAAGTTCACATCTCTGTCCCCAGCATGACAATATCACATCTCTCTCCCTGACAAGACAAGTTCACATCTCTGTCCCCAGCATGACAATATCACATCTCTCTCCCTGACAAGACAAGTTCACATCTCTGTCCCCAGCATGACAATATCACATCTCTCTCCCTGACAAGACAAGTTCACATCTCTGTCCCCAGCATGACAATATCACATCTCTCTCCCTGACAAGACAAGTTCACATCTTTGCACGGCAAATATTAATTTTTTGTCTTTGACAAGACGAGATCACATCTGTGTACATTGTTGTCCTTGACAAGACGAGATCACATCTGTGTACATTGTTGTCCTTAACAAGACGACATCACATCTGTGTACATTGTTGTCCTCGACAAGACGAGATTACATCTGTGTACATTGTTGTCCTTGACAAGACGAGATTACATCTGTGTACAGTGTAGTCCTTAACAAGACGAGATCACATCTGTGTACAGTGTTGTCCTCAACAAGACGAGATCACATCTGTGTACATTGTTGTCCTCGACAAGACGAGATTACATCTGTGTACAGTGTTGACCTCGACAAGACGACATCACATCTGTGTACATTGTTGTCCTTGACAAGACGACATCACATCTGTGTACATTGTTGTCCTCGACAAGACGAGATCACATCTGTGTACATTGTTGTCCTTAACAAGACGACATCACATCTGTGTACATTGTTGTCCTCGACAAGACGAGATCACATCTGTGTACAGTGTTGTCCTCAACAAGACGACATCACATCTGTGTACATTGTTGTCCTCAACAAGACGACATCACATCTGTGTACAGTGTTGTCCTCAACAAGACGACATCACATCTGTGTACATTGTTGTCCTTGACAAGACGACATCACATCTGTGTACATTGTTGTCCTTGACAAGACGACATCACATCTGTGTACATTGTTGTCCTTGACAAGACGACATCACATCTGTGTACATTGTTGTCCTTGACAAGACGACATCACATCTGTGTACATTGTTGTCCTTGACAAGACGAGATCACATATGTGTACATTGTTGTCCTTGACAAGACGACATCACATCTGTGTACATTGTTGTCCTTGACAAGACGACATCACATCTGTGTACATTGTTGTCCTTGACAAGACGACATCACATCTGTGTACATTGTTGTCCTTGACAAGACGACATCACATCTGTGTACATTGTTGTCCTTGACAAGACGAGATCACATCTGTGTACATTGTTGTCCTTGACAAGACAGATCACATCTGTGTACATTGTTGTCCTTGACAAGACGAGATCACATCTGTGTACATTGTTGTCCTCGACAAGACGAGATCACATCTGTGTACATTGTTCTCCTTAACAAGACGAGATCACATCTGTGTACACTTTTGTCCTTGACAAGACGACATCACATCTGTGTACATTGTTGTCCTCGACAAGACGAGATCACATCTGTGTACATTGTTGTCTTCGACAAGGCGAGATCACATTTGTGTACATTGTTGTCCTCGATAAGACGAGATCACATCTGTGTACATTGTTGTCCTCGACAATACGAGATCACATCTGTGTACATTGTTGTCCTTGACAAGACGAGATCACATCTAAGTACATTGTTGTCCTTGACAAGATGAGATCACATCTGTGTACATTGTGGTCCTTGACAAGATAAGATCACATCTATGTACATTGCTGTCCTTGACAAGATGAGATCACATCTGTGTACATTGTTGTCCTTGACAAGATAAGATCACATCTGTGTACATTGTTGTCCTCGACAAGACGAGATAACATCTGTGTACATTGTTGTCCTTGACAAGACGAGATCACATCTGTGTACATTGTTGTCCTCGACAAGACGAGATTACATCTGTCTACATTGTTGTCCTTGACAAGACGAGATCACATTTGTGTACATTGTTGTCCTTGACAAGACGAGATCACATCTGTGTACATTATTGTCCTTGACAAGACGAGATCACATCTGTGTACATTGTTGTCCTCGACAAGACGAGATCACATCTGTGTACATTGTTGTCCTCGACAAGACGAGATCACATCTGTGTACATTGTTGTCCTCGACAAGACGAAATCACATCTGTGTACAGTGTTGTCCTCGACAAGACGCGATCACATCTGTGTACATTGTTGTCCTCGACAAGACGAGATCACATCTGTGTACATTGTTGTCCTCGACAAGACGAGATCACATCTGTGTACATTGTTGTCCTTGACAAGACGAGATCACATCTGTGTACATTGTTGTCCTCGACAAGACGAGATTACATCTGTGTACATTGTTGTCCTTGACAAGACGAGATCCCATCTGTGTACATTGTTGTCCTTGACAAGACGAGATCACATCTGTGTACATTGTTGTCCTCGACAAGACGAGATTACATCTGTGTACATTGTTGTCCTCGACAAGACGAGATCACATCTGTGTACATTGTTGTCCTCGACAAGACGAGATCACATCTGTGTACATTGTTGTCCTCGACAAGACGAGATTACATCTGTGTACATTGTTGTCCTCGACAAGACAGATCACATCTGTGTACATTGTTGTCCTTAACAAGACGACATCACATCTGTGTACAGTGTTGTCCTCGACAAGACGAGATTACATCTGTGTACATTGTTGTCCTCGACAAGATGTGATTACATCTGTGTACAGTGTTGACCTCGACAAGACGAGATTACATCTGTGTACAGTGTTGACCTCGACAAGACGAGATTACATATGTGTACATTGTTGTCCTCGACAAGACAGATCACATCTGTGTACATTGTTGTCCTCGACAAGACGAGATCACATCTGTGTACATTGTTGTCCTCGACAAGACGAGATTACATCTGTGTACAGTGTTTTCCTCGACAAGATGAGATTACATCTGTGTACATTGTTGTCCTCGACAAGATGAGATTACATCTGTGTACATTGTTGTCCTCGACAAGACGAGATTACATCTGTGTACATTATTGTCCTCGACAAGACGAGATTACATCTGTGTACATTGTTGTCCTCGACAAGATGAGATTACATCAGTTTACATTGTTGTCCTCGACAAGACGAGATGACATGTGTGTACAGTGTTGTGACCCCCACCTACAGGAGAGTGGCAGCTTATCAGCGTGGTGGCCAAGCGTAACGTGGTCTACTACCCTTGTTGCCCGGAACCGTTCCCTGACGTGACCTTCACGATCCACCTGCGGCGGCGCACACTCTACTACACGCACAACGTCATCATCCCCTGCGTCATGCTGTCCTGTCTCACCCTGCTGGTCTTCTGGATGCGGCCGGACTCTGGCGAGAAGGTCACCCTGGGACTGACTGTTCTCCTGGCCTTCTCTGTCTTTATGTTGCTGATCGCCGAGAACATGCCGGCCACGTCCAACTTTGTACCTCTCATAGGTGAGTTAGTCAGTCAGTTTATCGGCCAGTGAGTCCATGAGTTAGTCAGTTTATCGGCCAGTGAGTCCATGAGTTAGTCTGTACGTTTGTCGGCGAGTGAGTCCATGTGTTAGTCTGTACGTTTATCGGCGAGTGAGTCGTTGAGTTAATCAGTGAGTTAATTGGTGAGTTATTCGGTGAGTTAGCCAGTATGTTTGTCAGTGAGTTAGTCAGTGAGTTGGTTAGTGAGTTAGTGAATTAATCGACCAATAAGTCGGTGTGTTAGTCAGTGAGTTTATAGGCGAATGTGTCGGTAAGTTAGTCAGTGAGTTAGTCAGTGAGAAAGCCAGTGAGTTAGTCAGTGAGTTCATGCGCAAGTGTGTCTGTGAGTTAGTCAGTGAGTTAGTGAGTTAATCGCTAGTGAGTCGGTGAGTTAGTCGGTAAGTTAGTCAGTGAGTTAGTTAGACAGTAAGTTAGTAAGTGAGTTAGTTAGTGAGTAAGTTATACGGTGGGTGAGTTGGTGAGTTAGTGTGTGAGTTAGTCTCTAAAAAATTAGTATACTCTGTGAGCCGGTCAGTTTATACGTGAGTTGGTGGGTTAATGGGATGGCGAGTTAGTCAGTGAGTTAGTTGGTCAGTGAGTTAGTGAGTTAATGCGTTGGTGAGTTAGTGAGTTATTCAGTCAGTGAGTTGGTGAATTAATTAATTAGTGTGTAAATTAATAAGTGAATTAGTGAGGTGGTAATGTTTTTGGTGAATCAGTGAGTTAATCGTCAGTTAGCGAATTATTGGTTGCGTCAGCGAGTCGATGAGTTGAACGGTGAGTTAGCGAGTTTCACTGTGTTGAGTAATTAGCGGCTTGGTCTGTGAGTTACTCAGCAAGAAGCTGAGTTGTTAGTTAGTGAGTTTATACTTGAGATGTATGCATGCTGGAGAACATCGGGCAAGGAGTGGAGTGGGTCAGAGTACCAGTGGGAAAGTCTGACCTGTGTAGAGTTATGATAACATTAGACGGGGTGTGCAGAAATTGGCCAGCGGATGCTACGGAGGTTGAAGTCCAACAGTTGATTCACGACAATTCACGCCCAGGTGATCTGATTATCTATACAGATGGTTCAGTGTTGAGAGAAAAGAGAAGTGCCTGGGGGTTCGTAGCGAAAGCCGATGGAAAATCTGTAGTGCAAGACAGCCTAGCATATGACACCACAACATCTAGCATGAGAATGGAGGTGGAGGCGGTAACTGCAGCTCTCCGATGGCTAGAGAACAAGATGCATACACATGTCGTAATTATAACAGACTCTGAAAGCATGCTGAAAAAGGTGAGGACATGGATGCTTCGAGCAGAGTGGCTAGCTTCATTGGAAAGGTCACGGGTAGTGAGCATACTTTGGATCTTTTATCCAGGCCTTGCCCGCGTGGTTGGTAATGAACAGGCAGATAGATTGGCTAGATCCGCACCACTGGGTGGTGAATTGATACATGGCAAGGCAGATGTCAAGACCCTTTGGGAACAAGCAACATAATCAGTAGAGAAAGAAGGTTATTATGGCCTGGAGAGAATGAGGCACCTGGATGTAACCAGAAGGTCTGGCCGGCTCACTACACTCAGAGGGAAGGCAAGACGGACTTTTAACTAGATTGTGACAGATGAGGAAGCAGCATGCATGGGAATACCCCGAGTGCTGTGATGTCAATTCTTGACCTAACTTAACTCATACTTGAGATACTGAGTTAGTCGGTGAGTCAGCTAGTTAGTGGGTCGGTGAGTTTGTCCGAGATCTTTACTTAGTAGGTTATTTCCATTAGTTCTTTCTTCACCTCACGCCTGACTGTCACCTTGTGTCTAGCCACTTCTCCAGCCCTATGTGCTTCTATGGCCAGAGCGTCTTCATTGTAGTACATCTTCATTGTCCTACATCTACATTGTCCTACATCTTTATTGCCCTACATCTTCATTGTCCTACATCTACATTGTCCTACATCTACATTATCCTACATCTACATTAACCTACATCTACATTATCCTACATCTACACTGTCCTACATCTACATTGTCCTACATCTACATTATCCTACATCTACATTAACCTACATCTACATTATCCTACATCTACATTATCCTACATCTACATTATCCTACATCTACATTGTCCTACATCTACATTGTCCTACATCTACATTATCCTACATCTACATTGTCCTACATCTACATTATCCTACATCTACATTGTCCTACATCTACATTATAATACATCAACATTGTCCTACATCTACATTATCCTACATCTACATTATCCTACACCTACATTATCCTACATCTACATTGTCCTACATCTACATTGTCCTACATCTACATTGTCTTACATCTACATTATCCTACATCTACATTGTCCTACATCTACATTATCCTACATCTTCATTATCCTACATCTTCATTGTCCTACATCTACATTATCCTACATCTACATTGTCCTACATCTACATTGTCCTACATCTACATTATCCTACATCTACATTGTCCTACATCTACATTATCCTACAACTACATTGTCCTACATCTTCATTATCCTACATCTACATTATCCTACATCTACATTATCCTACATCTACATTGTCCTACATCTACATTGTCCTACATCTACATTGTCGTACATCTACATTTTCTACATCTACATTATCCTACATCTACATTGTCCTACATCTACATTGTCCTACATCTACATTGTCCTACATCTACATTGTCCTACATCTACATTGTCCTACATCTACATTGTCCTACATCTTCATTATCCTACATCTACATTATCCTACATCTACATTGTCCTACATCTTCATTATCCTACATTTACAATGTCCTACATCTACATTATCCTACATCTACATTGTCCTACATCTTCATTATCCTACATCTTAATTATCCTACATCTACATTATCCTACATCTACATTGTCCTACAACTACATTATCCTACATCTACATTATCCTACATCTACATTGTCCTACATCTACATTATCCTACATCTACATTATCCTACATCTACATTATCCTACATCTGCCTTATCCTACATCTACATTATCCTACATCTACATTGTCCTACATCTACATTGTCCTACATCTACATTATGCTACATCTACATTGTCCTACATCTACATTATCCTACATCTACATTGTCCTACATCTACATTGTCCTACATCTACATTATCCTACATCTTTATTATCCTTCATCTACATTATCCTACATCTACATTATCCTACATCTACATTGTCCTACATCTACATTGTCCTACATCTACACTGTCCTACATCTGTATTATCCTACATCTACATTGTCCTACATCTACATTATCCTACATCTACATTATCCTACATCTTCATTATCCTACATCTACATTATCCTACATATACATTATCCTACATCTACAATATCCTACATCTACATTGTCCTACATCTTAATTGTCCTACATCTACATTATCCTACATCTACATTATCCTACATCTACATTATCCTACATCTACATTGTCCTACATCTTAATTGTCCTACATCTTCATTGTCCTACATCTACATTGTCCTACATCTACATTGTCCTACATCTACATTGTCCTACATCTTAATTGTCCTACATCTACATTATCCTACATCTACATTTTCCTACATCTACATTATCCTACATCTACATTGTCCTACATCTTCATTATCCTACATCTACATTGTCCTACATCTACATTATCCTACATCTACATTGTCCTACATCTACATTATCCTACATCTACATTGTCCTACATCTACATTGTCCTACATCTTAATTGTCCTACATCTTAATTGTCCTACATCTTAATTGCCCTACATCTACATTATCCTACATCTACATTGTCCTACATCTACATTGGCGTTGATCATCTCTGAATCGTTTTTCCAGAAACTGTAACAAACCGCTCCCCTCCCAGGCACGTTTTCTTTTAGAACACCTTAAATTTTAAAAGTGGCCAAACCACCTCAGCTTCGAGACAGAATGATGCAGATGAGCGAGTTCTCCTCACTGTTTATATCAGGTCGGGTGCCAATTCCTTTCTTTTTGAGCTTCTTCTGACCTTTGTTTTACAGTCGCCATTGTTGTTTATTGTTGCCTCTAGATTTTAAAATAAAAAATGACATCCTAGCATTCGGTGACATCCTAACAGAGGTGTGACTGTACTATATACACTAATCATGAGAACTATGATGAGTTAGGACGTTCATTACAGAATGAACTAGATAAGCTTATTAAATGGAGTAACGCTAATCGCATGCAAATTAACATAACTAAAACTAAATCTATGGTAATAGCAACCAGGCAAAAGTTACAGACTTTAGACGTAAACAAGCCTCCGCTTGAGCTCCATGTTGACAAATTACCTATTAATAATGTTAGTGAACATAAAACATTAGGCGTTACAATTGACAGCAATTTAACTTGGTGTTCTCATGTTCATGCCATAACCAAGAAAGTAGCACAAAAAGTCTATCAGTTAGCCAAAATTCAGCACTTTCTGGATCAGAGTACAAGAAAAATATTTTATGTATCCTACATTCAAGCCCATATCGACTATTGTTCCACGGTTTGGGATGGCTGCTCCAAATCCAACTTAAAACGACTGTGTTCTCTACAAAATCGCGCTTTACACCTAGTTTCGGATAGAAAACATACCGATAAAAATCATCTCTATTGTCAGTTAAGAATTCTCCCATTTAAGAAACGATTAATTTTTAATAAAGCCAAATTTATTCATAAAATTTTAGCTCAGAACACTGCAGATTATCTTTTCCAGTTGATTCACACCAACCATAAGAACAGCAAACGCCTAAATTTATTGCATTTGCCAAAGCCTAGATTAGATCTATATAAAACAAGTTTGTCATATTCTGCTGCTCATTTATGGAATCACCTCCCACTCGATCTGAAAAATATGAGTATGTACTCGTTTAACCGCAGCCTTTTTAAATTCATGCTTACTAGTGATTATAGACCACCATAG